GAAGGTTTATCCGGGGCTTTGGCAAGGTTGCAGCACCCATCACATCCCTGTTGAAGGGTGGGCCGTCCGGCTCCGCTGGTCTGCTGAGGCGGATCTGGCCTTCAGGAGACTGTGGGGTCTGTTCACCTCAGCTCCGGTACTGGCCCACCCCGATCCATCACTACCATTCGTAGTGGAGGTGGATGAGTCCGAGGTAGGGATAGGCGCTGTCCTGTCCCAACGCTCGGGCACGCCACCCAAGCTCCGCCCCTGTGCCTTCTTCTCGAAGAAGCTCAGCTCGGCGGAGCAGAACTACGACGTTGGTGATCGGGAGCTGTTGGCTGTTGTCCGAGCATTGACCGTGTGGAGGCATTAGCTCGAAGGGGCGAAACACCCTTTCCTCGTCTGGACGGACCACCGTAACCTGGAGTACATCTGGGCAGCGAGGAGGCTGAATCCTCGCCAGGCCAGGTGGGCCCTATTCTTCACCCGGTTTGATTTTACACTGTCATACATTCCGGGTATGAAGAACGTGAAGGCAGACGCACTGTCCCGGCTGTATGACACAGAGGAGAGGCCCAGAGACACCCCCATACTCCCGGCCTCCTGCATTGTGGCGCCGGTAGTATGGGCGATGGACGCGGATATAGAGCGGGCATTACGCACAGATCCATCTCCACCGCCGTGTCCAGCTGGGCTGTGGTACGTGCCTGCTCTTATCCTTGATTGTCTGATCTTCTGGGCACACACGTCACCCTCCTCTGGTCACCCAGGTATCGGTCGTACAGTGCACTGTTTGAGCGGAAAGTACTGGTGGCCTACCTTGGCTAAGGACGTGAGGGCGTACGTCTCCTCCTGCTCGGTGTGTGCCCAGAGTAAGGCACCTAGGCACCTCCCAGCAGGTAAGCTACAACCGTTACCAGTTCCACAACGACCATGGTCTCACCTTACTTTTGATTTTCTGACTGATCTTACCCTCTCCCAAGGTAACACCACCATCCTGGTTGTTGTGGACCGCTTCTCCAAGTCCTGCCGCCTCCTTCCTCTGCCCGGTCTCCCCACGGCCCTGCAGACTGCGGAGGCCCTGTTTACTCACGTCTTCCGGTACCACGGGGTGCCAGAGGATATAGTGTCCGACCGAGGTCCCCAGTTCACGTCCAAGGTTTGGAAGGTGTTCATGGAACGTTTGGGGTGCTCGGTCAGCCTAACCTCTGGGTTCCACCCCGAGTCAAATGGGCAGGTTGAACAAGTAAATCAGGATGTGGGTAGGTTCCTGCGGTCCTACTGCCAGGACCGGCCGGGGGAGTGGTCGGTGTTCTTGCCATGGGCAGAATATGCCCAGAACTCTCTCCGCCACACCTCTACTAACCTAACACCATTTCAATGTGTTTTAGGGTACCATCTGTTTCTGGCACCGTGGCACCAGAGCCAGACCGAGGCTCCTGCGGTGGATGACTGGTTTCCGCACGCGGAGGAGACATGGGACGCTGCCCACGTTCACCTCCAGCGCGCCGTGAGTCGTCAGAAGGCCAACGCTGACTGTCACCGCAGTGAGGCCCCGGTCTTCGTACCGGGGAATCGGATCTGGCTCTCGACCCGGAATCTTCCCCTCCGCCTGCCCTGCCGGAAGCTGAGCCAGTGGTTTGTGGGGCCGTTCAAAGTCCTGAGGAGACAAAATATTTAACTGCCTTTGAACGGGGTTGGTAGTAGGTTCCAGGCGCACCGGTTTGAGTGTGTCAAGAACTGCAACACTGCTGGGTTTCATGCTCAACAGTATCCTGTGTGTATCAAGAATGGTCCACCACCCAAAGGACATCCAGCCAACTTGACACATCTGTGGGAAGCATTGGAGTCAACAAGGGCCAGCATCCCTGTGGAACGCTTTCGACACCTTGTAGAATCCATTCCCACACTTGAGGCTGTTCTCAGTGCAAAAGGGATGCAATTCAATATTAGGAAGGCGTTCTTAATGTTTTGTACACTTAGTGTAAATTGAGAGCAAAACACAAGCACACCTTCTTGGGGTATTTCTCTCTGACTAAAAGTTTGCATGGTAACACAACATAAAATTAATATTTGTGTACTGACCGAAATTACTCTTTCCTTATTCAGATATCGAGGCTCAACTGCAACCACAAAATAGACAGGTAATAGAAACTGTTATATTTACTTATTATTTGTTTTCTACAGGAACCGGGTCAGGACCCAGACTCTCTAAACTACGCAGTGTTGAGATTCCGTTAGAAGAAAACAAGGAATAAGAAGACAGCTAAAGGTCAAATGATGGAGATGGAGCATGTTGTGTGCGCTGCCACAACATGGTGTCTAAATGTTTTAATTTCAAGTTGTCAAAAATCACCTTGTGACAGCCATCATGGTTAGAGTCTGAGGTAGAGTAGGAGGGGCCAGTGAGCAACGCATCACTTCCTGTAGTGTGAGTGACAGGAAGGAGCAGCTCAGTTTTGAATGAGACCTGCTGAGGTGAACATCACTGGCCTCTCATGACATTTGTCTTAGAGACAGTGGAATATATTATTTTTTTAAGAACAACTATAGAATAGATTCCCAGTATTTTACCATCTTTTAAAATGAAAGATGACATAGCCCTGGGGTAATATTTCAAATTCTGTGTAAATAATATTCAAATAAGATTTAGAAAACAAACTGCAACCAACTGGGGAACTTTTAACCAAACTCATAATACTTGTGGTAGTGTACTGTACTTTATATTCAAGGGGAAATAACCAATAAATATTTTTTTTACTAAATGCATTTTTTTTGGTGTGTGTGTATAATGTTGACTATCTATCTCTCTCTGTCTCTCTCTCTTCTCTCTGCGCATCTAAACCACACTCTCTCTCCTCACCAATCAGGCCTCACATCTCTTTCCATCCATACCGCCAGACTATAAATACCTGAACAAAACCAAACTACCTCAGGCTTCACGTACAGAGGGCAAGTATGCTTTTCCCCACAGTGGAACAGTTCTACCGTGTAGTATCACAGTTTCCAGGACTTTACCTGTGAACTGTGCAGGAAACACTATACATCCTATGGTCAGGAAAAACTCCATAGGAGGTCAGAACAGGAGCTACCCTAAGGCCCAGAGCTTTACCTGGTAAGGACACTACATTCTAGAAAAACTTCTAATGAGGTTAGGAGCTACAGAAGAGCCCAGAGGTGTTCTTGTTCAGGGAAAACTATTTTCCCTAACCCTTATATTATTACCTTGCAGTTGTTGAATCCCTCTCTGAACAGGGGTCAGGTACCACTATGGAGATGGGCCTGAACATGGACTTCAGGTATTGAGGCAGTTTAGTATGACCAGCATAGCCTGGAGATAAAAACACACTTATTATGACATTATCTCTCTCTCTCTCTCTCTCTCTCTCTCTCTCTCTGTTCTCTTCACACCACTCTCTCTGTCTCTCTCTCTGCCGCATCTAAACAATAAAACAGTTGAATTTAATTGAATGCATGATGTACAATGGTACTGTATGTTGGACACCTGGGGTTTGGGACACCTACACACCGCCATCTGCTGTTTAGTACAATAACTATACTTTAGTGGGCTATGTTCAAAATGACCATAAAATATGTTCTATTCAACATCTTCAACACTTTGGAACACTTGTAGGCCTACTTCAATCACAGTGCATCCATGGTGTATTTACATGCACAATGAATGCATCCATAAACAATAGACCTACTGCTCTAATGTTGAGTGTACAGAGGCAGGTGTCAATGCTCTCTGCAGACTCTCATCTGATGCATTCGCTGCAGACACAACATCCTCGACCTGTAGTGTACTGCAAACCTGGTCAAGACCTACAGCAAACGTATGATCTCTGTAATTGCAAACAAAGGTTTCTGTACCAAATATTAAGTTCTGCTTTTCTGATGTATCAAATACTTATGTCATGCAATAAAATGCAAATTAATTATATTTTGTCAGACCCACACACTATACAGTGCAGAAAGGACATTAAAATGATGATTATATATTGGACAATATTTTTGTTTATCACCAATTTGGGTAAGTATGAAATATTGATGTGGATCCTTTTACTTTTATAAAATGCAAATTAATTACTTAAAAATCATACAATGTGATTTTCTGGATTTTTGTTTTAGATTCCGTCTCTCACAGTTGAAGTGTACCTATGATAAAAATGACAGACCTCTACATGCTTTGTAAGTAGAAAAACCTGCAAAATCGGCAGTGTATCAAATACTTTTTCTCCCCACTGTGTATAACGATTTAGCAAATGTCTGAACTCTTACTTTTCATGATTATGGTTATAACATGGAAGTCCTAACCTGCCTTTATGCTTGTGTGATAGTTCAATAAACATATTTTTATTTCCTAGTTAAATGACTTGCCCAATTCTTACCACTTATCTGCACCAGGTATCAAAGGATCACATCTTTATTTTGTCAAAAAGGTGCCAACCTCACCAGAGTTAAATTCTTCCTGAATGCTTGAACTGCCTTCTACAGACATGAAGTGAGAAATACAATGTAAACCCCCTGTGTATGTCAAAGAGGACATATGTACCACTAGTCTCAGCCACCGACCCAAATGATGAAAAAATACAAACCAGTAACTCTGACTTTACATCATTTGTAACTATGGTATGCCACAGGACTCACGTTAGATTGTAGTTTTTATCACATGTTTTATGCTTATTCAGACAGCCAATAATATCACTTAGTTCAGAGTTTCCGCCTACTTCGTAATGACTACCCGATGAGTGTCATCATATAAAAGGTTCCCCATTGTCAGACCCACACACTATACAGTGCAGAAAGGACATTAAAATGATGATTATATATTGGACAATATTTTTGTTTATCACCAATTTGGGTAAGTATGAAATATTGATGTGGATCCTTTTACTTTTTATGTCATAGTCTTTTTGAATCCGTTTTAATGACTATGTAGTCGTGAATAATGATAATAATGTATCATTCTGTACTATACCTTTGTTTTTGATTTATTCCGTTTGTTTGCTTCACAGGTTGTGCACATAACAAGGATGTAATCCAACCAGACCCTGTGATGGTTACACACCTTGGACAAAGTGTATCTCTCACTTGCTTTTGTCGATCTAATTTGATGGTCAGAGTCGCTTGGTTCAAGCAAACTGTTGGACAGAAACCTCTTCTCATGGCATCATCATACTATCGCACTCAAAATATTTTTATTTCAACAATTTTACCAAGGACTTTAATGAGACTAAACGTTTGAGTGTGAAGAGAGGAGTTGACAGCTGTAACCTGACCATCTCCAAGACAGAGTCAGGGGACTCAGCTACATACTACTGTGGTGCTATGGAAATGGGTGAAGTCAAATTTGGAGAAGGAACTGTTTTATTTGTCAAAGGCAACTTAAGTCAGTACCTAAGTGAGTTCATATAATGCTAAATTAATTATCTAGCAGGAAAATAGAATGTACACACCATGATCTTACTCACTCTCTTCAGATTCAGGGTCCAACAGCATGTCTGTGATCCAGCAGTCTGTGTCTGAGTCAGTCCAGCCAGGAGACTCTGTTACTCTGAACTGTACAATACACACTGAGACCTGTGCAGGAGAACACAGAGTCTATTGGTTCAGACATGGCTCAGGAGAATCCCATCCAGGAATCATTTACACCCAAGGAGACAGGAGTGATCAGTGTGAGAAGAGCCCTGATGCTGGGTCTCCTACACAGAGCTGTGTCTACAACCTCCCCAAGAGGAACCTCAACCTCTCTGATGCTGGGACTTACTACTGTGCTGTGGCCTCATGTGGGGAGATACTGTTTGGGAAAGGGACCATGCTGGACTGTTAGTGATATTTTGACATTTCTAAATAGTCGTAAAATTCTATGCCTGGTTGAACAAAATGTCCTGAATTTCCTCTATCACTGTCTGTATTTCTACAGATGGTTGTAAGGAGGACCATGTTCTCTTGGTGTACTGTCTGGGTGTAGTGTTGGCTCTTTGTGTCATCCTCATCATTGTCCTTGGTTGTGTTTTGTATAAGATGACCAAGAAAACCTCTCTGCTGTGCAGAGGTAAGTGTTATCATTGCCCCCAATATATGGTTAAATTGTTGGTGCTGTATACATTACATGTTTTAGTCGTGAAACTGGGTAAATTCATTGTATGATGATGATGTTGATGATGATGATACCTTCATGTTTGTCTAAAAGGAACGCATCCTCAGCCAAGTGGTCCGGTTGTCCCCAGTTCTCATAACCAGGTATGCAGAACTTATAATGAACTATTCTGAGCATGACTTTGACTAATTGTAAACAGATCTTTCTATCAAATTATCAGGTCATTTCCTGATGTCTTTGGAATTTATTTTGCTATTCCTCTTAGGATCAAGAAAATGATGACACACTCACGTCGGTCCATTACGCTGCTCTGAATGTCATCCACAAGAAGCCAAAGGCCCAGAGACAGAGGAGCACCATGGAGAAAGACACTGTGTATTCTGGGGTGAGGTGCCAAAACATGGACTGAAACATAGCTTTACCTCCTTTAAGACTTGCATTGCCTTTTCTGTTAAACACTGTGTTTTATCATTATAATTGTGTTACAATTGCTTGTATTCTGTCAAACTCCTATTTACATTACTGTTGTGATACTGTTGTGCATTTTAGATCAAATAAAACATTAATTCACTTTAATTTAGATGTATTGTTTGATTTTCACTCACATTCTTCAAGTTAAACTGGGAAGTGTGCATGTACATTGCATCCTGATTACATGATGTGCATAATAGCATGCATAGAGTACATTCTATTGACTAACATTTTCAGTTGTCTCATGCTCTCTTTTTTAAGGTGTATCCTGCATCAGATCTCTGTGCTTTTCTGACGGCCCTAAATAGATTTTCCACTCAGCTTAACTCATCTCAAATCCCCAGCAATGACCGCCAGTCCTCACCACACACTGTCTTCACACACCTCATTTCATCAAAACTACAAACATCCCATGTCAATAAGATCACAACTCACTCTCTTCATGAGAAAAGCCTAAAAAAAAATATATACTTCTTAGCTGCGTATATTTTGAAGAGAGCTGATATTGTTGAAAATATAATCCAAATATGACAATGTACAAATTGTAACTAAGAAGTTTTCACAAACAATACAACATGTGAAAATGCATATATACAAGTTGAAGTACTGCACTTAATTTCTCTTTCAATAGGGTGCAGCAATGTATATGGAAGTCCCCATAACTGCCTTAACATTAGTTGGCAGGAACTTTTAGAATTGTCAAAATGTTAAAATTGTTCACTAAGAATCGTTGAAAACGTACTTTCCTGTGATAGTTCATGTGTGTAGCCATAATAGCTGTCAAGAAATGCTCAACAAAGACAATGTTTTGTTAAGAATCTTTAACAAGGTAATGTATTACATGCATATTACACATCTGTATCATGTTATGAATCCATTTCAGAATCATAGCGCCACATGCATCAAACAGGCTAGGTAGTCATCATCACTGGATCATTACTACTAACATCAACTAAGTTATTATAAAGTGTAGCTTAGTTACCTGGAGGAGCCACACAATCACTCAAAATAAAATGGGTAGCAGAGTGATCTCTATATGACAAAGACAATGACTCGTGTTTGTGTGTAGTTTTATATTGAGTTCCAGGGAGTAGTTGAATAAGTATGGGAGACAACCTATTTATTCAAGTCATCTCTCCTCTGTAATATGTTGTCCTCTTTTAGTTGTGTTAATAGCATGCCATTCAAACCCACCCCCAAACAACAAGTTCACAGATACTCTGCAGTCTTCTGTAAGCATAAGACCAGGCTGTATCTACGCTTTGGTCAGGTGGCCTGCTGGCTTTGTGCACACAGGACCCTCCTACCTGCTCTCTGTGTCTCTGTGTCTCTATGTGGTTTTCAGCAGGATGTATATGTGGTGTCACTGTTGTTCTCACTATCGTTACTTGTTGTTCATGTTGCACCAGACAACTTACAGCCACAGCAAATCCGTTATTTATAAAACTGACTCTAATATATATTTGTGACCCGTTCAGGAACCTAGGCGTTAGTTGCATGTCACTACTTCACAGGAGAGGCATTAAAACGTTTATTTTTATTTCTATCAAAATGTGTTTTTTTGGCAGAAATGCCTTCTGGAACTTTAATTTACCTTAATAAACAAACTTGTATGCAATTTATAAATACGAATACAAAAAAATATTACGAGCCTAGTTGGTTTAGCCACGGAAAAAGACATGATTGGCTGAGATAATGGATGGGCTGGATATGCCGAGAGATGAGTTCGGATTGGTCTGCCATGTAGCTGGCTTCTGTCTATAACTTGATCTGCTCAGTATGTGTACATAATCATTGCTACCGCGGCTTTCTTGAAAGATATAACGTTAGCCATGGAGAACAGCAAAAGTGTTGCTTCTGCTCTTAACAACATTGCTGCCCTGAATTTAGCAGGCGCTATCGACAAAGATCAGTTGGAAAAAGTTGTGATGGACTACTTTCTCCACGCGGTCAGTTTGAACCGGAGTGACTTGACACAACGCGGGCCAAGCAAGCTGTACAAACAAAACGGAATTAAAGGGCTTCCAGTCTGCCGTGAAGCATTCATCTATGTATACAGGTAAGAGTCTAGCTACATTTTCAGATATTATAGATTTCTAATTTTGTCAGAAAGTTGTTTTCATTGCAAGTTAAAGCATACTGTTAGCTAGCTAGTGAACGTTAGCTTGCTGGATCGTTAGCTAACGTTATGTGTATGATCTGTGTAGTAATATTATTTGTATTTCAAAAAATTTGCATTGCTAGTTATAGCCTAATGCTAGCTAGTTAACATTGAACCGAGTTGGTTAGCTTTAGCTACCTGCAGATTCATACTATAGCATTTCATGCATGATGGCTAGCTATGACAATTTGTTTGTATTGCTACTGTATGTGTTGGGATTATGGTTAATTGTTTAGCTAGCTAGCTAGATACATGTCTAAACAAAAGACTCCACTTCGCTAGATGATTACATGACCCATCAATTTAGCCAGGTGTGTCTGGGGGTGAATACAGCCATCTAATGTATTTCATGAACATGTGTCTAGACAATAGTGACCCATCCACTTAGCTAGATGTGACTGGGGGGTGGTTGTAGCATTTCTGTCTGGGTAAGCATCATCTAATAATGACCAAATATTTTTATCTGGACACTTTCTATTTTTGAAATTGCTACTATGCAAATATGCAAATAACTACTTCACTGTACTGTTTATACCATCTGTATCCTGTGCGTGTAACAAATAAACGTTGATTTCATTTGATATAGTGTGTGTTTACCAGAGACGGTAATGCGAAGAACAACATGCCTTAAGAGGGTGTGAACAATGCTGAATATGTGTAGACAAAGAAGAACTCTCCAGTAGGTGTACCAAAACATTCATGGCCCGCTTTCTCAAAAGTGGAGATACACGTTTATCAACTTTCAAAGCAGACCATTGTGTTCTTGGTCACCTCCCTGACCAAGACCCTTCTCCACCGATTGTTCAGTTTAGCCGGGCGGCCAGCTCTAGGAAGAGTCTTGGTGGTTCCAAACTTCTTCCATTTAAGAATGATGGAGGCCACTATGTTCTTGGGGACATTCAGAATTTTTTTGGTACCCTTCCCCAGATCTATGCCTCGACACAATCCTGTCTCAGAGCTCTAAGGACAATTCCTTCGACCTCATGGCTTGGTTTTTGCTCTGACATGCACTGTCAACTGTGGGACCTTATATAGACAGGTGTGTGCCTTTCCTAATCATGTCCAATCAATTGAATTTACCACAAGTGGACTCCAATTAAGTTGTAGAAACATCTCAAGTATGATAAATGAAAACTGGATATCCCTGTGCTCAATTTCGAGTCTTAAAGCAAAGGGTCTGAATTCTTACCTAAATAAGGTATTTCAGTTTCTGCTTTGTCATTATGTGGTATTGTCACGGATTCAGCCGAGGCTGCTCCTCCTCCTTGCTCGGGCAGGCTTCGGCGTTCGTCGTCCCCGGAGTACTAGCTACTGCCGATCGATGTTTCGGTGTTTGTCTTGTTTAGTCTTTATTGTGTACACCTGTTTCCCATTATGTTGGATTGTATTCCCTATATTAACCCCTGTCTCTCATTGGTTATTGTGTGTGATTGTTCTTTGTCATTCCGGCAGTTGCTTTGGTGTACGGGTTATTGTGTTTTCCTCCCTGTTTGGAGGTTTGTTGTTTTTGTACTCTATTTACTGTAAAAGTACATTGCCAGCCGCTCTGTGTCCTGCATTTGACTTCGCTGACCGCATACATGTCGCGTGACAGAATCACACACCACGACATGGAGTCAGCAGGAGCGGCGGTGCCAGCTGGATCAATGGAGGAGCGCGTAGCACAACAATCGGCCATGATCCAGGCTCTCGGGACCACCATGGAAAGGGTGGTGAACACCATGGAGCGATGGGAAAGAGGATGTTTGCCCACACCTCCTCCGACGATACCACCACCATCAGCTACACCCATCGCTTCACCTCCGGGGTCCAGTGGGATTCGGCTCTCGCTCCCGAGGGCTTATGATGGCACAGCGGCCGGGTGTCAGGGTTTCCTGCTCCAAGTGGAACTCTACCTGGCAACCATCCACCCGGTGCCCTCGGGATACGAGAGCGTGTCCGCCCTCATCTCCTGTCTGTCCGGCAAGGCGCTGGAGTGGGCCAACACCGAGTAGGGGGAAATAGACGCCACTACAGTCAACTATGCGGAGTTCAGCCGCCGCTTCAGGGCGGTGTTCGATCATCCCCCAGAGGGGAAGGCGGCGGGTGAGCGTCTGTTTCACCTCAGACAGGGGAAGAGGAGCGCGCAGGAGTTCGCACTGGACTTCCGGACTCTGGCTGCCAACACGGGATGGAATGAGAGGGCCCTCATCGACCACTACAGATGTAGCCTGAGGGAGGACGTGCGTCGGGAATTGGCCTGCAGGGACACCAACCTAAGCTTCGATCAGCTGGTGGATATGTCGATTCGCCTAGATACCTGTTGGCTACCCGCGGACGTCCGGAGTCGGGGCCGTCCATTCCATCCCCCAGCACTTCCGAGCCGAGCCCTATGGAGCTTGGGGGTGCTGGTGCTAGGGAGACCAGGAGAGAGACCAGGAGAGAGGCCGTCCCCTGCACCAACTGTGGCCGCAGAGGACACACTGCGGGTCGGTGCTGGGGAGGGTCTCCTAGGAATCGAGGCAGTAGGCAGCACACTGATGAGTCATTCCAGGTGAGTAAGCACCCAACTCACCCAGAGCTCTCTGTTGCGCATATGTGTATTAAAGTTGTGTTTCCCGAGGTTTCTCCTCACTCCCAGCATAAGGCATGTAGGTGTTTCCGTAGATGCAACGACGGTGGAAAGCCCGAACCAAGTTCCCACCATGCACATTCCACCTGAGTATGCCGATTTGGCACTCGCCTTCTGTAAAAAGAAGGCGACTCAATTACCACCTCATCGACAGGGGGATTGT